GAAATTTTGGGGGGAGGGGGGGCCCCCCCACCCCCTTTTTTTTTTAGAAAGGAGAATTTTTGGGTTTTTTTTTCCAGGGGGGGGGTATAAAAAAAAAATTTTTAAATGTTCTTGGGGGGGTTAGGCCCGGGGCCCCTTTCTCCCGGAAGGGGTCCCGGGTTTTTTTTTTACACACACACATATTATCCCTAACAGAATCCACGGAGACATGCAGTGCCTTGACCCTCGGCTTATAAATTTATTTTCTTGATTTTGATTGGAGTAAAATTTTCCATTACAGAACCAATATGCAACTATTAAAAGCTGACGCTATATTTGCTCAAAAGATAAGGTTTTCCCCCAAACCGACAATACAATATAATAGTCGTCTCCCTCGCCCGAGAGCTGGTCCGCCCGTTGGTGATTTTATTCGCCTCCCACTCTCAGCAGAGTGAGAGAGGGATCCGGGCGACTTTTGTTGCCTGGAGCGCTTAGTGGGGGGCCGGGTCCTATGATGCCCGAAACGTATGTATAGGGCGTTGTATTGTTATTCTCACCCTATCCATGATTTTATCTGGGAAGATTGAAGAATGCCGGACCACTCGTATTATAATTGCGCGAGAATGGAGGGGGGGGGGGGGAGAGATTGGAGGAAAGAGGGGTGGGGGTGGGGGGTCAGGGGGGTGGGGACAAATTGTTAATGAATAGATCTACCGGTCCGAGATTCTCCAAGAATATTAAAAACTGGGGAAAAATCATGAATTCCTAACCTACGGTTGAGACATAGGCAAGAGTAGTAGTTCCAGTCCGCTGGTCTGGTATTCTTCAATCTTACCCTAGATCTGCATAAAAAAATTAAAGCTTGCAATATTGATAAGTCATGTCAAATTGTAAGTAGATACGCACAGCTTCTCGAGCTTGGTTAGCCGTTCGTATGGCTTGGTAACTGAGTTCCGTCATCTCTCATCCCGGTGGCGTCGTCGGTCGCGAAGACATACAAACATGGTGGACAAGATCTCGTTGGACAGTGACAAATTCGAGAAAGTGATAATACAAAACCAACCTTTGCTTTTGTTTATTACAATTGAATTAATCCTGAAAATAGTATATTGAATAAATATATGGCTTTCGTAAGGGGAAAACAAAATAGAAAGAAAAAAATTAGAACCACGTAGAAAGAGGTGTCATCGAATTGCCAACTCGGTGTTTCTTTGGGAAAGAAACAAAAAAGACCAACTCAAACTGTACTTTTTAGAATATGTGTTGAATATTCTTTGTATAGAGCTTCTTTATCACGAATAAAATGTATAATTCAAAAGATTCAGAAGAAAAGCTTCAATTCTTTTGAAATGTAATGTGCATGTAATAACCATCTTGAGCAATGTATGCGTTTTCCTGATGTCTGAAGGAAGACCTACAGTGGTCTTACAGATCAACTTGCCACAGTAGTCTTTACACATTAGTTTTACCTGGCATATTATTCTGAGTCAAAATTGTACACACACACACAGCTGAACTGTTCTTGTGGAGCGTATCAGGCTGAAGAATCAGCTGCTTACTTTTCCCCGTAAGTTGTTGATAAAGTCCAGCTTCGAGTCGGGGATTATGGACACAAATATGGAGTGATTGGATGCCTTGTACTGTTCAATAATATTATTATTTACCTCCCCAGTACCAACTCAGTACAGTCTAAGTCTAGATTCTAGATCTTAGTAGGCCTACTGCTATTATTGACTGTCTCTCTACTCTCTTCTATTATCTTTCTTCATCGTCTTCATACTTCAACTTCAATTCCTGTCTCTTTTTACTTTTGTCTTAGTCCCTGTCAAAGTTAAATCATTCTACTATTAGAAAAGAAAGTGGCTATTCTCACCTGCCCGGAAGTTCTCGCAAGATCAACTCCTCCCCTCTTCTCTCTCTCTCTCTGTCTCTTTCTGAATACTGTCTATCGGTGTCGATGATCAAATTGACCAAAACAAAGTTAAAAAATGATGTTAAAACACAAAAGTAAATTAATTTGGTTGTCTACAAAGATGCTTCGGCTATTTAACTTTTCGAATCGAGCTGAACTACGCGGGTCGCCATTTTGTTTTGCCCGAAAATTCTCGCGCTACTCCTCTCTCTCTTTCTCTCTCTCTCTCCACTGCCCACAGACAAAATTGTACGCTTTTAGTAGGCTACAGTTGTAATGGAACGTTTGTTCACGGCACAGAATTCTACAATTTTTCTGTTATCACAGTGTAGAATTCTGTGGTTTAGGGTGAACGCAAAATTTGGTGGCCATTAGAAAATCAAATGTTCATGTACTTGTAGACTTGATCTTTTACTGGCTTCTTGAGCATTGAGGCTATCATGTGTACGGCCCTCCACTTCACTGACTTCACATTATAATAAAAGCCATAAAACCTGCTAGACTTCAAATCGCACACTACAACAAAGTGGACAAACTTAACTCACTTGCGACTGGGCCCTTTCACCAGTCACAAGCGTTGAAGACTGGCATTTTGAGGGGTATTTCAATAAAGGCCACCTCTATTCTCACCCGGGGTGAGAATAGGGTGCTTTTTCGGTAGTTCCCACCCC